GTTGCCATGTTCCCACCAATCACGTAGCTCCTTTTTCTGCCTTTAAAAGCACACACAACCCACAATTCCTCTATTCACTCCAACGAAGGGCTAACGCTCGAAACGTCAGGTTTTATAATCGTAACGGTGGACAATTTACCATTTCAACTTTGTTGATATATTCAAATTACAAAGAATGAACAGTTGGCCGAGAAGGTGTATCTTTTTAACACTGTTTAAAAAGATACACAGATTTTATTAAAAAAGTTGGACCTGAAAATGTGACTTTGTTCGTTTGTTTTGTCTTGTCTATAAAATTGGGCGATGGATATAAAATCGAATGGGGTATACATTGTATTTTGTAAATAAACCCCTTTGGGCTGCTGGTATGTCGGCTGATAATGTCCGTGGCTAAGAGATTGTCCGAAGCATGAATATTTGGCCGAGAAGTGAAGCTTCGAGGGCAAATATGAAATTTTGAGGGCAATCTCTCAGCCAAGAACATTCTCGGCCAACATACCAGCAAGCCAGAGTGGGGTTATTTATTTTATAACCCTCCCATTAATTTTCACATCGCAGTTAAACTGCGCATAAACAGAGTGAAAAAGCCAGTGGTGATCTTATGACGAATGCACGTGATTGATGCAAGCAAAAAAAAAAATGAGTTTGGTTTCCTTCCATGTAAATAGGAGAACAGAAAAGTTGAAACTCTTGTGTTGACTATGTTTCTTTTTCACGGAAAAAATCGTAGGACAAATATCAACACGGACAGGGGTTATTGCATGATACCTGTCCTGTGATTTTGCATCACGTGACATAAAGTAACCAATGATGTAACCAAAACGTAAAGTAACCAATATGCCTGATTTAATTTTAACCTACAAAAAAGTATCACTACTAGTGTGGACAATGTCAGGCAGAAATGCGTCAATGAAAACTCGATTAGTGTAGACAAGGCCAAATTAAATCCCTGCAATGACATGGTATTTTTTTTGTGTTATTTCTATTCTATTTACTAGCTGGGTAATGGTTACAACAAATTTGCTAGGGTTCATATTACATTGTTTTCATTGTCTGAAGTGTGGTCAGAAACTTTAGTAATCTTTGTTATAATGAGTTGGTATAGAGCTCTCTAGTCAGGCCAAATTTCATGAGCTATTAAATGAGCTATTAATCTCAGTTTTGGTAGCTTGAAGTGGCTTAGTAATACTGCTCACAACTCCTTATCTCCTAGATATAATGCTAATGATTTGCAGGTCACCTCCATCTGACAGGTTGTGTTTTGCCAGAAAATATTCCTTCTTTGCCTCCTTCATGGAAGTTTTTTTGTTTTGCAGTCTGGCCATCTGGAATATAGGCAATTTGAGGAACTCTTTAAATTACACAAGGGTTCTGTGCTACACTTTATATTGCAGTTTTCAATAACATATTTTACATACTCTGAAGTTCAGACCTCAAACAATGGTTACATTTTTCACTGCTGACAATCATCTTAGCTAGCAGACCTCTCTGGAAACAAAGCTTCACTTCAACCAGGTCAAAAGGTCACATCTGTCAGTTGTGACTGGTAGTTTTCGATCTATTTTGCTTCTTTCTGTTTTTCAAGGTTTGTTAGCTGTTGCCATAATTATTATTGACAGCAACAGGAAATTGCAATCATTAGTTGGGTTTTTAACTTCAGATTTTGCATTTAGGCCCAATCTGGTTTAAGCTCCCACATGACAAATCTCACGAAAANCAAGTGCATGAATAAAGGAGCTTTCTGATGTCCCAGGCATTCTTTTTTGGATTGAATCCCATAACCTGAATAATTGTTGGTCAAACACATAACTGGTGTCAGTGGGACTCCCACACCAAAACCCTGCTTGTACAACATCAATCAGAGACCAGGATAGAATGATACTGTTGCAATTGGAACACTGGATTATGACTTTGTTCAAATCATATCGTCCTGAAAAAGAAATTATTCACTTCATGAATAATGATAACATTAAAGTGCAGTAAAATGGCTTCAACTAGGAATTCCCATAACTATAGGTAATAAATTAAGGTGAAACTAATTAAAATTTTAATAAAATGAATCTCTTCTTATGATGCATTACAATCTAATTGATTACCATAAAAGGACATATCAAAAAGTAATTTGAGATAAAGAGCAAGCCATATTACTTTTATTAATTCACTTAATAATTAGATACAGGAAATAAGTAAAACTCCAAGACAGTTTAAGCAAACAGACACTATTACCTTTTTCATTAACTATTATTAGGAAACCAGAAGATGGAACTTGTTGTATGACTCCAGCCTCTTTACAACTTGAACATTGATCTGGTATATTAGGGACTGGAAAAGACTTATCTAACGAAAAGTGAGAAGCAAAGCTACATTAAAAATGTTGTTTTGCATTGTGGTATAACATAATCATCATCATCATAAATTTCTCTCAGAAACCACTTACGACTTTAAAGCTAACATAATGGATGTGTCTCCATCCACCTTTACTTGCTTATGCTAAGTTCAATTTGAATATGGTGGTTTAAAAAAAATGTATAATTAAGCATATGAAGTGAAAATAATAATTTAAGAAAATGGACACTGTATACTGTGAGATTACCTATTATTTGGTGATAACCTTTTCCATCAACTCCAACAATTGGGGGATTAGCATGAAAGTACCCATTTACATATGCATCTCTGTCGTGAAAAGGCAAAGACTTGTGAACCTTTTCATCATATGAATGGCACATACACTGTTTTGGGCACTCCATAAATCGTATACAGACTTTGCCTTCCAAACAAATGCTGCAAATGTCTGGAGAGGGGCGGCCCTCACAGCTAAGGACTGCCTCTATTAGCTGCTTCCTGGTGTTGTCCCAACTAGAGGTCAAATTAGACATCCGTGTTTCCCAATTCTTGGAAGATGCAATTTGAAATGTGGAAAGAACCTCTTCACATTTTGCAAGTGCAGCTTCGAGGTCATCTTCTATGAAACAAAAATAATATTTAGTCACAATGTGCATCAATAGATACTGGTACATTCCAACTCTTCTATTCATGACCATTTA